CTACCTCGCAAGGTTGAAAAGCTATGTACACAGCCCTGAGAAAATTGCCAAAAGATATCTCAGGAATAAAATGAATGCACAACGTGGTCCACCTTTCTCCCTGGAGGCATTTAACTCTACTGCAGTGCTTGAATAAAGGATCAGCTGGAAGGGCCACTTAACATGCTGCAAAAGTGTCCGTGTTTCTCACTCACACCCGGCTGCTGATGCCCATCCCCAGGGACTAGTAATGAATGAGGCGTGTGTGTATGTGTGTATGTGTGTGTGTGTCCCCTCCTTTGCTTGTCTTGGGCCTGCCAGCAAAGAGAAGGCACTGCAATGCATTTAACCCCTTAACTTGCAGTTGTGAGAGAGATTTTTCTGGCAACAGCCTCTTGTCTATTTTACACCTCTTTTGCAAATTAGGTAATGTGCAGTTTAACCAATTCATCTGACCAACTATTCTTCCATCTTGGGTAAGAATCAAGAGCATCAGCTGGCTGGCAGTGTCTTTTTAAAGGGATCTGTGAGCCCCTCTCTGCTTTTTGTGGGTGCACGAGGATGCTTTGTGTCCTAAAATGAAAAGGAGACACAATTTATGTGCAAATTTGTCACGTTCAAATTGGAGAAATCCTGCTGAACCCCCTTGCCTCTCTCCCGCGATGGTGCTCAAAAACCTCCCCGGGCTTGGCAATTTCTCACAGAAGTGCCCCCGTACTGTCAAAACAGGCTAAATCAAAACGAACAAGGAATTTAAGAAACGTTTTTCACATCCCTGTAAAGCAGCAATGGTTTGTTTTAATCACAAGGGCCACGCTCCCCTAAATTCAGAAAACCACATTATAACAGAGCTTCGATGTTTTTTTTTAACTTAGAAAAGTATCTCTGTTCAGTTCAGAAAAAGTACCTTATAACACGCTCTAAATATCACCAAATCAAAACACCCAGCTTCAAGGGAGGCGGGACAAGCTAAGAAATGGTCTTGATGAATTTAGCCCTGTTTTACATCAGTGGGTGCTTGGACATTTAAAAATCTGTTTTCCTTCATGGCATGGCACATTTTTTGCAGAGGTGCTCCCCCAAGTGGCATTAAAATGTCTGCTTCCCATAGCACAAGATAAGAAACCCTTGAGGGGAGATAGGATAGCACTTTTCAAAGACTTGAAATGTATTCTCGAAGGCTTTCATGGCTGGGATCCAATGGTTGTTTGTAGATTTCTTGGGCTGTTTGGCCGTGTTCTGGAAAGGTATCCCTCCAGAAGAGGGGCAGGATCTGTTCTCAATCATCCCAAAGAGTAGGACACGTAATAATGGGCTCAAGCGACAGGAGGCCAGATTTAGGCCGAATATCAGGAAAAACATCCCGTTAGAGCAGTACGACAACGGAACGCATGACTTTGGGAGGTGGTGAGCGCTCCAACGCTGGAGGCGAAAAACTGGACAACCATCCATTAGATCTGCTTTGACTTAGATTCCTGCCTTGAGCAGAGGGTTGGACGCGATGACCTTCGAGGCCCCTTCCAACTCCATTATTCTGTGATTCTAAGATTTTCCTTTTCTGCACACCTTCTGGCGTTTTGTTTTATAGCCGGTCCTTTGGAAAGGTTGATCTGGCAACCTTGATTCCCCGAGGCATGCATCTTACAGGATCCCAGTGTAAACTGCAGAGAATATGAATTCCTTTTAGCGTCTACTTTGACCCCAGTTTGACATCGCTACCTGCTGTGGGGAAGAGTCATCCTTCGGGGGGGGACATGGCTTAATGGGAGCATATTTTCCTTGTATCAATCAATCAATCAATCAATCAATCAATCAATCAATCAATCAATCAATCAATCAATCAATCAATCAATCAATCAATCAATCAATCAATCAATAAATAAATAAATAAATAAATAAATAAAAGGAAATGTGTCCCTTTCAGGCCCTGGCATATCCCACTGAAACCAATATTTGTAGCTTGGGATGGAAAACCCAACCCGAATACGATGGAGGATGCTTGAAACCAGACCTCCCAGCTGACTTTCACGCACCCCATATAAGCCTCCGTGCGCCACCTCTGCCATGAATTTTTGTGACCCTGGCCTACAATTTTTCTACACTGTCCATGAAGAAGTGGGTGCCCAGCCTGAGGAAGTGGGAATTTCCCCCCAAAATCTTGCAATTCATGTGATTTTTTTTTAGTGGTTTGATAAAGCTATCACCTTACTCTTGCAAAGCAGGTGAGTGAAGATCTCTCTACCTGAAATGTTTGAAAGCCGTTGCGTTGCTCTTTGGAAGGAGGCTGAGCAATGCATCCCCAGACCGCGCGGCATGCAATCATACATCGAGGGAAGAGTGATTTGCAGCAGATCTTGGTTTATTGGGACATCGAAGCTTCCACAAAAGATAACCCGTACAAAACTTGAGCCAATTGGGAAAGAAAACAACCACCAAATCAACAAAATCATGCTGCGGTAGAGTGACATTGCGCAACACCAAGTCTTCTTCTCCCCCCCCCCAATGCTCAGAAGCCCCTCTTCCTAACCCCTTGCACACGTTTTAAAGCGCGGAGATTTCTCGAGCACGGTCAATGATTTTTTGCTTTGCCTGCCAGAAAAGAAGAATAAGTGGTTCAAACAAAACATTTCCCTGGATGTCCTCAGCAATGAGAGTGGGCGTGGAAGGTGTTAAGAAGGAAATTAAGTTTGATTTGTTTCTCAAACTCTTCTTACCGGAAATTCTACCTATATTTTGGCATTTCAAATGACCCAACTTTGTTCTCAAAATTTACAGTAGCTTGAAGAAAAACTGAGCAAAAGGTGTAAATATGTTCCCTTTTACTCTGCTGGCAAACCGAAGCAAACGAAAAGGGGAAAAAATGATTAAGCTGGACAACCCAGGAATGAACGGAAGGGAATTTTATTTTGTTTTGACTTTCAAGACTGAAGCGCTGGGAGGTGGGCAGAACACAAAAGGAAAAGAAGAGACACATGGGCGCCTGTGTGCCCGTGCACACACAATTCCCCCCAGACACTGCACTCAAATAGCTCGTGCAATCCCTAAAAATTGGATTTTTAACATTTCTTGGACTACAAATCCCATCATTCCCTATTCTGGGCGTTCTACCTGATTGACACACACTTTACAGACAGTGGCATGAGACTCGCCTGGGAGACAGGCCTCAACTGGAAGGCTTCCAAGCTCAGCTTGGCCTAGCTCTAGCAACCGCTTTCTCTTCCTGCCCCAGTGCATGCTGGGAGCTTTTTTTCTGAGCAGGAAACGAGGCGGAACAAGGCCAAGCTCAGCCTCAGCATAAGCCTTTCTCCCAGGTGTTATCACACTGAGTTGCTTGTCAGGTGCCTCTAAGTGAGGTAGCACTGCCACGACAGAGAACCATGGGATTTGTAGTGTAGAAAACTCAAAAGCCCCATTGCCAGCAATTTGTGTGCTGTCGGCTCCAAGGCACTTCAGAATTTTGAATCATGACCTAAGCAGGCGTTACCAGAGGACTGAGGCAGCCCGGTCGGGGTCTGTAGTTTTCCAGATGGGTGTTTGTTTTCCCTCCCGGATTGTGACAGACACCTTTGGAAGTGACTCGACACCGTTCATTCCAAGGCAGCTAATTCCACGCATGGAGATCAGCACATGCTCAGTGTACTGAAGACTCCAGATTTAATCCAGGTTTATCTCTACGGACAAAGGGTCTTAGAGCGAAGGATGGCAAAAGCTCATGCCAGTGGCCAGGGATCCTGGGAAGTGTAATCCAGACACATCTGAAGAGCCACATGCTTCTTTTCTTTTGGAGATGGTCTAACTTGGATAGGACCACCTTATCTGCGGGATCAGTATCCGCTGACTGTACATATTTGAAAAATGAAAAGAAAAATCCGCAAAATTTATATTTCTAATGATGAAGTTACCAGAACTGGCTACTGGAGGGAGCCAGGGACCATGTTATGGATTCTTGTTGTTGAAGACATGGGGAAATACTTTTAAAATTATTATTTTTTCTTTAACCATGCTAAGTATAGTGTTCACTATTATCCACGGTTTTCAACATCCACGGGGTGGTTTGAAACCAATCCCCCATGGATGGGGGGCCCTACTGGATCTAAAAAAGCTGGACTGACTGCAATTGGCTAAGCTCGTTGGAAATGTTGAAACAGGCCAGCATGGCATCTGATTGTCTTTTTTTTTTTAAAGGAAGAGGCACATTCATCACTGAAAAACATCACAAACGAGGGCAACCAATTCATTTTTGTTAGCAGGATGACCATGGTTACCATTGCAGACGATGAGACCTTCTGGCTGTGGCTGATGGGATTTGTAGCATTGGCAGGATAGCAGGTTTGGGAAGGTGGGGGTCGAAATCCCACAGCCAAGAGGAATAAAGGGTTGTGTGGGG